GGCGGGAGGGTTGGACTAGATGACCCACAGAGGTCCCTTCCAACCCCTACCATTCTGTGTGTGATTCTGTGACTACAGCAAAGTTAAAATGCTTTGGCTTTCATCTAGCAATTGTACTGCTATAGCTTTGTAACCTCAGAGGAATTACCCTTAATTCAGTTCATCAGCTGATGCACGTGGAGCAGCTGGTCCCATGTATTTGCTACTCAGTACAACAAAGTCTTTTTGGCAACTTAAAATTCTACATGACTCAGCTAATATGCAAGGAAGTAGATATACAGTTCCTGTTAAAAAGATACATTTATGAGTCTGCAGAAAGACAATCATGCTGTTTCTGAAGTGCTCTGCTCAGTATTTGTATGTTTACGTGCAGCTTTGACTACAGTGTAAGACTATATTGTCTTTTGATTATTGGAAATGGAAAATATTGTAATAGGGATCTATGTCTTAAAACATGGAAAACTTAAAGACTTTATGGAAAAAAATAGAAAACATTTATATTATTTTACAGGGAATTAGTTACAAGTATTTCCCAGAGCCAGGAAAGAAAATAGGAGCTGTTATTTCTGTCTGTGCAATTTTAGTCCAGAGTGGAAACAGGATCTATCCTGACAAGCTAAAAAGTTCTTTCCTCCACATTCCCTTGGCACCCATCTCCACAATTGCTCAAGTTTAACCCGCATGCCTTTATGCTTATGCTGTACGCCAATTCCAGATCTGTACCATTAAGAACACTCTCAGACTCTTCATGTACTCCCATGAGCTCTGCTGTGCTGTGACTTGATCCTGCTTTGCTGCAGAAGTAGGTGCTTCCAGCTATTTTCACCACTTGGGTGCTGTATCCTTTAAAGATTGGGTCGTGCTTGCTTGCAATCAATAGAAGCATTTTGACTAGTTTTGGTGGGAAAGAAACAGGCTTTTGTGATTGAATATGAATGTGTATTGTGCTTGTGTTTAAATGGATAGCAGTAATCGTGTTTGGCAAAAAGGCTTTATACTTCAAAGCAGTTCTAACATACCTTTTCTTTAATAGGGAAATTTGGGAACGTTTTTTATTACTAATGTGAGAATAGTTTGGCATGCAAATATGAATGACAGCTTTAATGTCAGCATACCATACCTACAAATTGTAAGTATCTTAAAACAACCTTTTTCAAAATGAAAGGGCATAAATTCATGTCTTCAGTTAACAATCTCAGCTCACCAAAATTAGTATTTCATGTCCCACAGTCAGGGAGGTGTTTAGTCTTACCAGCATCAGCCACACGGGAGGTGTTTTTTTTCTGTGCATATTAATCGGGGGCTTTCATGGACAGGTAAAGATGTTGAAAATGGCTTATGTTTCTAATTTTCAAAACACTTCCTATGATGCTTCATGCCACTTACATACGCTGAGATTAATGGTCTGTGAACCTGATGTTCAGAAATGAACTGTTACCACTGTTACCATGTCTGATGAAAACAGTTTTCCCTGTGGTTTCACTGGTTCAGATCTGCAGTGGTAAATGGGAGGGAATGCTGGTAGCCAAGCTTCCAGAACCAGTAACTGTAACTGCTACAGTATAAACAAACAAAAACCCCAAACCCAACAGATCACAGATTGTTGTGAAGTAATTCAAAATTTTTAACAAGCAGTTTTTATCTCTTTACCATTAGCGTTCAATAAAAATAAGAGACTCAAAGTTTGGCTTGGCGCTTGTGATAGAGAGTTCTCAGCAGGTAAGAAGCTTTAATAGCCTTTTTCCATTGGTTACATTTTTCTGTGCAATAGTTCTCTTAATTCTGAAATGTTACAGGGCTACTTTTAAGGTACTTAGAGTGTTCCTTCCATGTGGCCTTTTGAACACAACTTTTAACAAGTTGTCTTTGCACTGCTTAAAATCATAGAATCATAGAAAGTTTTGGGTCAGAAGGGACCCCTAGAGGTCATCTAGTCCAACCCGCCCGCAGTGAGCAGGGACACCGCTAACTAGATCAGGTTGCTCAGAGCCCTGTCCAACCTGGTCTTGAATGTTTCCAGGAATGGGGCCTCCACTACCTCTC